TTAGATGATAAATTTGAGATAGTAGAGATAATTTCATGTGGCACTAAGCCAGATAAGGTTGAAAAGACTGATGGTAGATCTACTGTATTGTGTATAGTTATACAATACAGTTGTTTAATTTGGCAATATAGTTTGGTTATTGTTTCTGAAGTAGTGTCAAGTTTATTTGTATTTAAAGTATATTGTAAAGAACTGTCAACAAGGTTGTATAGCAGCTGGTCAAATGGATATGTTATCCAGTAAAGGTGAGAGCTGGTTTCATGGCATTGATGACAGTTTGGTGAATATGAGTGATATTGTTTGTGAAGAATATGTGGAGTAGAAAGGTCATTAAGTAGAATTTTAATTCTAAAAGATTTAAGAATAGAATATTGAAAGCTATGTAAAAAGTTTGAGATTTTTTGATTATTGTTAATATATAGTCAAGTGGCTTGCCAATTAATTTGGTTAAAGATTTTGTTTCATTTTTGAAATCAGTTTTGTGTAGTTCATAGTATGTAGATGTGTGCATGACAGATTGTACAAATACTATGATGAGTAGATAATTCTAAAGAAAAGTTTTCAAGATTTAAAATATAAGATGAGTTATAAATATTGTAAGGCATAAAAGTTAAATATAGTAAGTTGTAATAGTTTTATGCCAGTTGGTCAGCGAGATTATTATATGTGTTATTTTGATGTACTGTGACTTTGTGAAAAATAATTTAAATTTTATATAAATTAACAAAGTTAATTAATAAGTTCTATAGTAAAAAGTATGGTGTATGTATATAAGATAAGGTTGTGGAAGAGTTAAAAATGCTTTGATATTTAGAAATTACAGATTAAGAGTCTGTATATATATTTATAATACAATTTCTAGGAGCAGTAATGAGGGCAGATAGAATTGCAGTAAGTTCAGCTTTAAATGAACAAAACCAAAGTTTTGTTTGAGCTTAGAATGTATGTAATATAGAGTTATTAGAAATTTGAACCCATCTAATGCCCATCGAGCATTGTAAAGTACCCAAATCAATAACAGAGCCATCAGTATAAAAGTGAAGTTCTGATAAATTAGCATTATAGTTGGCTATTTGTTGAAGGTTATGAATAGGTGAACAAGGTTTAAAAATTACAAAAATTGGTTAAATAGGAATAGTAATATTTGAAAGATCTGAAATTTGAGTAGGATGCCAAATTGCAATAGTGTATATAAGATCGAGATGATTAGCATTAAAGTTAAGAGTTTTGTTGTAGATGTTAACTTGACCCAAAAATTAAGTTAAGAGATTGGTAGAAATAACAATTGTACATTTGTTAGCAATTATTTGGGAGTTGAGAGAGTATTCAGAACATATATAAGATTAAATAGGTAGAAGAGGATAAAGTCAAGTAAATTGTAATTCAATATTGCATTGCCAGTAGGTAATAAGGATTGATTCAGATGCTGAAGGTTGCTTTCTGGCTTTTTTAGCAATAATTTAATCATTAAGTATAGTAATAAGCCATAGTTTTTTGCATAATGAAAAGTGTTCAGTTATATAACTATAGTAATTAGTATCAGGTAAGTGTAAGTGTTGATAAAGTGTGTAATTGTAGGAATAGCTTATAACTTGGTTTTCTAAATAAGTAAACCAAAGTGGCTGTTTGCCTTTTGAAATCTTGTATATGCGAGGAGAGATATGGGGGGGCCCACAGCAAAAGGTGGCTTCGGGACAACCAATCATATTTCAAGAATTTATTATAATTACTTGCTTAATAGTCTTATGTTTATAAAAATGTTTTTTTTTTTATTAATTATATAATAAAAAAATTTTTTTTGATTGTGATAACTGATTCGTAACAGTAATAAACAGTAACGGTTAAGATTAGCAGTATCGACGTGCATATTCGAGGTTGATTTTAGCTTGTTATAATCAAGATTTAGTTAGTTATAAATGCAACGATACACTATTGATATTTTACATTGTAAAACAATTTTACTAATAGGAATGATATTCTATTAAACTGGATTTCGATCAGGTTAAATAATTAAATAATCGATCCGGAACATAGCGGAGGATCCTTAATTATACTTACTTGACTTGTGGGCTTTAAAAGGTTGTAAGCGTTACAATTAATTCCAGTTGTTAATCAATTTTGTCATTTGAAAGCTTGTTTAATCAGATGCCCGGAAATATTCTGTACAGCACTATTTTATTATTATTTTTTTTTTGAGTTAATATGTACTGGTACATTACATTTCAATTTAGAATTCTTTATTATGGAATATAATATACATTCCAATGATAATGAAGTAAATGAAAGTATTTTAACGTCTTTAAAAGATTTAGACAATATTTTTTTTGTTGATAATTCAGATTCAGAAAGCGAAAAGGATGACGAAAAATTAGCTGAAGAGTTAGGTGGTGAAGAATTTGACAATGAAGAATTAGATAATGAAAAATTGAACGATGAGTTATCTGATAATGATTATGATAATATCAATCTAACTAAATTAAATAAATTAGAGTTTGTAGATATTTCTGACGATTATATTGAAGATAAAATATATGATGAATTAAAAATAGAAATTAAAGAATTTTTTTTGAAACAAAAATGTTCGTGTCGTTCTACTAAAAAGCCTTGCTTTGAACAAATTGGCTATGATCGATTTCTTAAACGTCGAGTTGAATTCGAAAGCCTGGATAAAAAAATGCGAGATATAGTTATTAAGGGCCAACTATTAGCTTTTCAAAAAGAAGAAAATACAAAAAGAGCAACTAGTGATAGTAGACAGCGTTGGCGTTATAATTATAGTTATAGTAATAATATTGTAATTTGTCGTGATACATATTTAGCTCTAGTTGGAATTAGTCATAAATCTTTAGAAAATATAATTAAGCATTTTCGTGAACATGGTCTTAAAGAACGTGTACATGGTAATACTGGCAGAGCTCCAAAAAACATGAATTGTATTGAGTTGAGCTATGATATAGCATGTGATGTATATCAGTTTTTAAAAAATTATTCTAATATACATGGTATGCCTTCACCTGGATGACATTTTAGTGAAATTTCTATGCCAATTGTGTTTCTTCCAACTAGCTACACCTATGCCTCAGTATATAATGATTATGTACGGGCTTATAAAGATAAGCATAGAGAGGATACTCGTGTTATGGCTGAATCTACCTTTATTAATATCTGGAAAGCTTTAATACCGTCGCTCCAATTTATGTCGCCAAAATCTGATTTGTGTGAAACTTGCGAAATATTAAAAATGGATATTCAGAATGCTATGCAATATGAAAAAAAAGTTGCACTTACAGAAAATTATATAGCTCATTTGAACCGTGCACAAAAAGAACGTGATTACTATAATAACAACATAACAACTGCAGTTGACGATGGTAAACGTAACCCAAACCTTAGTAAATCTTCTATATTATTTAAAACTTTTGATGGTAGTGCACATATTGCATACGACTGGGCCCAAAATGTTCAAATTCCTTACTTGCCACAGCAAATTGGGGCTTTGTTTTTTAAAGTTTCTAGAAAAGCATATTTGTTTGGCGTTTGTAATACAGGCAACTATCCTAATACACAACAAATAAATTATATAATCGATGAGGCTGAGATGCCTGATGATGGCAAACAAGGAAAAGGAGTAAATTGTACTTTAAGTTTGGTGTGGCATGCGATCCAAAAATATAACCGTGGAGAAAAAAAATTAATTATTACATGTGATAATTGCACAGGTCAAAATAAGAATAATTATTCATTATTCTTTTATTCATGGTTAATTGACCGTGGTATGTACGACGAAGTTGAATTAAATTTTATGATACCTGGACACACAAAATTTATTTGTGATGGTTGTTTTGGTTTAATTAAAATTCTTTATCGAAAGAGTAAAGTAAATACCGTGGATGATGTTGTTTCAATTATTAATCGTTCTACTATGAATAATTTTAATATTGCTCAGCGCTATTTGGATGGTGAAGGTTTTCAGTATTATAATTTTAAACAATATTTTGAACCGTTTAAGAAACTACCCAATATCCACAAATACCATCATTTTAATTTTACTTCACAAAACCCTGGAGTAGTTTTTTATAAAGATAAAATTGAAGATGAGTACAAAAATATTACAATTCGATCTTTCGTTTTTGATGCTAATACATTACCTTCTATAATTAGTACCAGACCGCTTTCTCTAAAAAGGCAAGAGGAATTATATAAGGAAATTGTACCCTATGTAGATATTCCCTTCCGGGACATTACTTGTCCTAAACCTAATACATCCAAAGAAAATTTATCTGAAATATAAAGTTAAAATTTAAAATTCGCTAATTTCAAATTATAAAGATTATTAGTAAAGAGTTTTTTTTGATTATGTAAGAATTTTTTCATAAATATGAAACATGACTACATAATAATATTTTCAATAAAAAAGGATTTAAATATTGCGATAGTGATGATGCAAAGAAAAATTTTAAAGATACCCGAATGATAATTTTACTACATAGAAAAACCTTTTTTTATTAAACGAATCATACTTTAATTACTAATTAAATATGTTCGCTGTATTATTTAAATATTGCGATAGTGATGTTGCAAAGAAAATTTTCAAAGATACCCAAATGATAATTTCACTATATAGAAAAACCTTTTTTTATTAAGCGAATCATATTTTACTTACTAATTAAATATGTCCACTGTATTATTTAAATATTGCGATAGTGGAATTTTTTAAAGATACCTGAATGATAATTTCACATTTTTTTTTTATTAAGCGAATCATATTTTACTTACTAATTAAATATGTTCGCTGTATTATTTAAATATTGCGATAGTGATAATGCAAAAAAAATTTTTAAGGATACCCGACTGATAATTTCACTACATAGAAAAACTTTTTTTTATTAAGCGAATCATATTTTATTTACTAATTAAATATGTTCGCTGTATTATTTTATATTTATGATAAAAATTTTATTAAATTTGAAACCTTTTTTACTAATAGACTTTATGGTTTAAAACATAGCAATAATGAAAATAATTTTTTAAATTTATGATTTTCACATGATTGCACATGATTTTTAAATTCGATTTTCTCACGATCATATGATCGTCCTGAAGCCACCTTTTGCTGTAGGTCCCCCCATATGTTTCTAGTCTAATAAACATAAATTGTTAAATGTTGTAAGTTGATCAAGATATAGAATACTATGATGCTTAAGTTGTTTTTAAAGATTAAGTATTTTGAGTATGAAGAGAGTAAAGATTCAAGTGAGATGAAGCCTTGTTGAATGGTGTATAGAATGTTGTAAGTTGGATTAGCAGTAAATGTAATGCCAAAATATTTAAAGAATTGAATTATTTTAAAATTAGTAGTATGTTTATTTGGTCTATCAATAATAGGATTATTATGTATTAAGATGCTAGTAGGTGATCAAAGATTATTTTGAAGTTGTTGGAGCTAAATATGAGTACTAATATCAAGAAAGTTAAAAGAGTTAAGTTTTTTGGTATAGTTTGTTATATGGTATTAAAGTTGAATATCCCATATATTTCGAATATTATATAGTTGAGGATGGAGTATTATGCTAATAGGAATTGTATGACTAAGTTTGGCCTTGTTTTTGACAAGTCCAATATAATTGGTAAGGATTTTATTACATGTGTTCTGACTAAGAACAATGTTGTAAATATAGTATTCAATTGTAGGAATAATAACTGTGTTAATAATATATCATGCATGTGTGTCAGTAATTTTTTTTGTATTTGCAATTTTGACAAGATGTGATGATTCAGCTATAATAAGCTTAGTTTGTTTTGCTTGTTTGTTATTAAGTATAAACCAATATTTTAGAAATTTAAATGGTTCATTTGGAGGATGAAAATTGAGTAATTAACTGTTGTAAGTAATAGGGCTATAGTTGGTTGGAGGGTTGTTAGTTGTAAGTATTGATTTAGTAGAATTAATTTGAATATTAGCTATATTGTAAAAAGATTCTGCTATTGATAAGATTTGGGAAAGTTCTTGCTGTAAGAAAGCAATCTATAAAGTGTCATCCATATAGGCAAGAACAGAGCAGTAAGATTCAAGTTTATTGAATGTTTGGTTTTTAAGATTAGTTGGCCAGGAAACTTTAGTGTTGTATTCATTAAAGTTATTGTAAATGTATGAGATAAGTAGGTTATAGTATATTCTTTATAGAAGAAGAGTAATGGTTTCTCTTTAATCAATACTGTTAAGTACAAGATATGAAGAAGTAAAGCCAAGATTTGTGATAACTTAATTTTGTCAGTCAGTAAGTAGATTAATAATAGTGTTGATAGTAATAGAAGGAAAAGCAAGATACTGCAAAAAATGTTTAAGAAGATCAAGATTAACTGAGTCATAAGCCTTACTTATATCTTGAGACAAAAGCCAAATTGGTTTTTAGTTGCATAATGCATCTTCAGTAAGATTGTTGAGTATATGTATAGGTATTAAGATACTGTTATTTGATAAAGCAACATAATTGTATAATGAAAGAATTGGATGTTATAAGAATATTGTACTAATTCTGTTTGTAATAATCTTTGTATAAACTTTATAAGTATGTTCAATTAAGCTTATAAGATAGGTAAGATTAAGATCCTCATCAAATATATTGCGCTTTGGAATAGAGTATATTCTGCTATACTTCCATTGTTTTGAAGTTTGGTCTGAGTTAAGGCAGCAATTAAATAAGGCAATTATAGTATTATCCTATATCTACTTCTTTTAAGATAGTAGGTAACTAGAGCGACCTTAGACAGTGAACACTTTTTGTAACCTCAC